CTCTGCCTCCCGAGTGCTGGGATTAAAGGCGTGCGCCTCCAACACCCGGTTCTGTTTCTTTTTTTTTAAAGACACGCCCGCACTACAAAGCACTGCCTGGCCTGGAACCGGCCATATAGACCAGGCTGGCCATGAACTCAAAGATGTACCACCAACCGGGCTGAGGTTATGCAACTGGCTGCAAGGCAGCTCTGGGGGAGGTTGGGGACCATACACATCTGTGGTCCCCATACAGCTAAGAGATGCCCTTTCTGCAAGGAAATCAGGGCATCATGGGGACAGGGGGTGAGGAGAGTGTGGGTCCATGGGCTCTGGTCACCCCACGCCTCTGTCAGGACCCAACACCACTGGCAAATCTGCATCAGGGCACTCAGGTGTCCTGACCAGACATCGAGGGACAGGACCAAGATGCGTATGAAAAGTTGTTTAATCCCCTGACAACCTAAGGCCAGGGCCCTCAGGCGGCACTGCCCAAAGCCCCTCCAACCAGCTCAGATGGAGGAACCGCTTGGACACCCAGTACAAAATGGCTTAAGTTAAGGCGCAGTCCAAGTGGCAGAAGTAGGTGGGCGGGCCCAGCGTCACCGTCTCTGTCCACTCTAGGACTGGGGTGCCTATGGGAAGTCCTCCTCCCTCCCTCTGTCCCCCTCCCCCAAGCTCTAGGAGGACTGCCCAGCTGCCACTGCCTGTCACCGTGCAGCACACTTTTCCATGCAAGTGTGAGTGGACACAGGTCATAGGCTCCATCTCGAGTGTGAGGACTGTGGCTTCTGCCTCAGAGACGACATGCAGCATGTGTAGTGGGCTCCCTGCAGGCAGATCCGTCATGGAGTCCAGAGCCTGGCTGGTGAGGTAGAGGACAGATGCCAGGTCCAGAAGCCACTGTTGGGGCAGAGGGCAGTGGCCATGGCATGGAAGACTTGCACATCCGAGCTGAGGACTATTTGCTGGGGACATGGCCCCATTTATGCATGGCCAATTCCCACTCTGCTGCAGACCGCAGAACCTGGAGCAAGAGACATTTACTGGCTTGGAACAGTGACCCAGCATTCTCGACTCTATTTAGGCGTGGACCCTCCTGTGGGGTATGGACACCTCATGTTGACCCAGGCCCTCGGGCAGGGTGCACACATCTAGGCCTCTCATGGCTTCTCCCAACATAGGAACACGCATGACAGGGATGTCCTGTCCTGTGGAGGAAGGCGCGGCCAGCTGGGACTGCAGGGCGAGTGTTGGCAAAGCACCAGAGGCGGCAGCCTTGCGTGGAGTGAAGCTCGTAGCCTGGTGCAAAGCGGAGCTGGGCACTGGGGCCCAGCTGTGGTGGGGAAGGAGAAGAGAGAGGCCTCAGAGGGCTGAGCACCATGTTAGGAGGGAACTGCCAGGTATGCTGCCCAGGAGGATAGCAGCTGTCTTTGTCCCCTCAAAGTCCCAGGTGGTCGGCATCTGTGTGGCATGGAAGGCTGCGTGGGCCCCGCTCTTGTACTTCCTCTTCCTAGGCCGATGTCCCTGGCTGTACCACGGGGCTGGGCTGAACCTGGTCCCCATCTGTGAGGCTGGATGCGCTGGCCATGGGGCTGCAGTGATTAGCAGCAGGGTCTGCAGCTCCTGCCTCCTCAGTGGGCAGGGGTCTCTTAGCTGGCTCTTCACCTGGAGGGTGCTGGGAGATGGGGGCATCTGAGTCCCTTCGAGGCACAGGCCCCTCCATTGGAGTCCATGAGGACTGAGGTACATCCTTCTGTAGAGAGGGGGGATGCTGTGAGGCTGGGACAATGGGGTAGAAACCAACACAAATGGAGGATACTAGAGCAGGAGGCATGCAGAGCCATCAGAACCATCAGAGCCATCCAGCACCATCAGAGCCATGCAGAGACACCCAGCGTCATCAGAGCCATCCAGCACACAGGCTGCAGGAGCCCAGGCCTCCAAGGCCCAGGGCAGCAAGTCCTGAGAGCAGGCCAGGGGGCCCCTGCTCTGCCTCTACATCTCTCACCCCTGCCTGATGCTCCCCCAGAGCCCCCAGAGCAAGCCCACTCACTCCTATGGCCAAATGCACCCTATGGGAACCAGAAGTCCTGAAACCCAAGAATGGAAGGCTGGCCCTGGGCAAGTCCCTGCCTACCCCAGCAACTGCCTCTGTCACACCAAGGAAGTCCTGGAACATGGGGCCCACAGGAAGATGCATCCAAGAAGCCATGTGTCATTTACTGCTTGGATAGGGCACCTCTCATCCCCTCCACCCTCTCTGGCCGGAACAGGGCCTTGCAGAGAAGGCTCTGGCAATGCAGCAGGAGTGTTCATAGCTTCGGGTTGCATCCAGTGAGTCCCCACAGGGAAGGAACCACAGGCCCAAAGTGTGACCTTCCACAAGCAAGGGACCCAGGCCAGGGGCTCAGTGGGAGCACAGGAGGTTGGACTCAACTTGACCTGGCGGCCTTAGGGGTTATCACCGCAGTCATAGCAAACCGGTATTCACCGCAAAGCCGCTGCCTGTCCAGAAGACACCCAGTTCCTGGCGCCACAGAGCCACGGTGCAGCTGCTTATCAGTGTGCAGGGGACCAGGTAGAGCAGCGCGGGCTGGCCACGTTGCATGAGGACAAGTGCCACAAATGTTACCAGAAGACCCAGGCCGTAGGCTACAGGGACAGAGTGAGTATCAGATAACCTGCTCCCAGCATGGTCAATGTGATTGACAAGGGGAAACAAGAACAAGGGTTCAGGCAGGTGTGAGCCACAAGCTGGAACTGTGGTAGCTGAGGCAGGTAAACTCCAGGCCAGCGGAACAACTGTGAGGCCCAGAGAGAAAGAACCATTGGGCTGTGCAGGGGAGGAAGGCAGGCAGCTATGGGAGCCTGTGTGGGGAAGTACTGCCACCAGCCCGGGTGACTTGGGCCAAGCGCCTGACTACTCATGCCCAGCTCCACTAGATGACATTTAAAACCAGCCTGGGGGTAGTGGCAAATGGGACTGGGGGGGCCTGAGGTGACAGACAAAAGGCAGAGAAGGGCAGGATAGCAGTGAGGCCACCTACCAATGGTACAGGCCATAAAGTAGATCCTGGAAGATTGCACCTGGATGTCGAACCTGTGGCAGTAAGCCACCAGCAGCCCTGGGGAGATGCAGAGTCACCACAGCTATGGCAGGGCCATGGGAGACCATTCACAGGGTGATCAGGACCTGGCAGGCTTGGCCATATAGCCATGTACCACCCAGGAAGCCATCTCAATCCTAGGCCCTTCCTGAACCCCAGGCATGGGCGCCATGCCCACAGCCCGCTTGCTGGTCCCAGCCCTTGCACTCAGGCCACACCTGGCACCAAGATGTCTCCAAAGCCCAGGAGGGAGAAGGGCCGGTCACACAGGGCGAGGGGCGAGGTGTTCAGCCTGGGTACCTTCAGCACCATGGGCAGCTGTGAGGAGAGCAGGGTTTAGGCTGGGGGCCCATGCTCACCACCCCTGCCTGGGCTCTTAGCCAGTGACCCACATGCAGGAGGGAGTGGCGTACCTTCTCCTGGGTGGATGAGTTCGAGGGCCCGGTGGCCACCTCCACCATGATGCTGTTGCCACTCTGCACGAGACAGGCTTGTCAGCCAGGGCGGGGAAGAGGGTGGGTAACCGGGAAGGCAGAGGGGACCTACCTTGGTCAGGAAGGGGGTGATGAAGACGAAGAAGACATCGTAGAAGAAGAGCACCAACAGCAGCATCGTGCAGGCCTGTGAAAGTGAGGCCTGAGCGGCCACCCCGCCCGGCATCCACAGCCGGGACTGCAGGGCCTGTGCCCAGGACTGATGGCCCAACCAGGACTGCTCCTATCATCACACCCCAACACCTGAACCCATGCCTTGCCCAGGCTTCAGACCTCCACCCAGGCCTGTGCCTGCCACGCTCACTGGCAGCCCTCACCTTGAAGGTAGGCAGGCGGATAGTCTTCAACATGTACAGGCAGAAGGCAATGCCCAGGACGTCCTGCAGGACCCAGGCCCACCTGGGAGAAGGAGAACACTTAGGAACCATGAGCTGCACCCAGCCTGCCCACAAGGGGCCTCAGAAGCAACAGCGCCACCACGCTGGGTGGCAGGGCCCAGCAGCAAGGTCCCTTGACTGGCTCCAAGCAGATGAGGAGTGGGGCTCCATGTGGGGTGCAAGGCAGAGTGACGGCTCCCGTACCATCTGAACTTTCCCAGAGCACACTACTGTAGGGTTTAGGAGTCGGGTCTGCATGGGGCCAGGGCTGTGCAGGCAGAGGAACAGGCAGAACTCGGCTGCTGTGTGAACATGGCTCTACTGTTCCTCGCCGTCACTGCAGCTACCATGTACAACATGTGGGACAGCAGGGACATCTCTGGTGCACATGACTCAAAACATCCCAACCCCCATTCCTTCTCCCAGTGGTGTCGACAGAGTACCAAGCAGCAGGGAAGCCAGGAGAGGCTTGGGCTGTGCCAGATGGTGTCAGTGACAACAAGGAGTCAGGTGGGGACAGGCAGGCTGTCCTCTGGGCCACGGCGCCAGACCTCTGCCTTTAAGGGGAGTGTGCATGCACAATTATCCCGTGGGAATTCAATGCAGAGGAGAACGGGGCCTCCCATCACCATGGGGGCAGATGACAAGTGGCAGCAAGGCATCAGGTGCTGCCTGAGCCCACGCCAAGACAGTAGGTGACAAATAGTGGCTCTGGCCCAGCATGTCCCCTTGCCCTGCCCAGGAGTTGAGCGGAGGGTGGACAGCACCCTTATCTAGATTCCAATCAGGGTGTGGGCTGCGGGCCAGGCCTGAATGAAATGGGACACGGCAGCAGGCGGCAGCCGTGGTCTGCAGCCCTGCAGACGGGTAGCACTGGGACAGGCTGGGCAGCCAGGGCACCCAAGGACACCAGTGGGAAGTGGACAGGGTGGCTATTAGCTGGGTCTGGAACATGGCAGCACTTACTGGTCCTCATTGCGGAAGACACCCCACACTACGGTGACGGTGACACAGAAGAAAGCTAGCAGCAGCATGCGGGCCTGAGGACGCTTGTGGAAGTACGGCAGGTTGTTGTCGGGGACCCTGGAGGGGACCGCCCATCATCGGATATCCCTCCTTCACCTCTACACCACCCTGAGCCACAGCTCCTGGCTTGTGCCTGCTATCCCCTCCCCTCCCAGAGCAAAAACCCCTGACTATGTGGCTGCGTCTCCTCCTGCTGGGACAGGCCCCTCTGGTTTCGGGATAGCAACTCCTAAATCGTCTCCATCCTGTCACTGCTGACCCTCCAGTGCCCAGGGCCCCTCACCTACCCACATGTCTCTGAGCAGCAGTGTTGGCTCATTGGTACCCCAGGGGCTATTAGACGATTGGGGGCCTGTGGTATTGTTACCTCCCTTCCCAATCTACCCTCCTTACCCGCCTCACTCCCTGGGAACCCTGCCCCATGCCTCTGCTAGATAGGAAGGGGCACAGTGCACGGGGGCTTGATGCCCCAGCACCCAGCCCAACCATGTGATGAGCACTTAGGAGCATCTGTGGTCTCTCTGAATGTGCCAGTAGGTGGGACATGGCAGGGGAGCGGTGGAAGGTGCTCACCTGCACGTGCAAAAGGGAAGCTTGCGCACACAGGGCGCCAGACAGCTGTAGAGACCAGTGGAGGAAGCCAGGCAGAAGATACCGATGATCACATAGACTTCGGGCCAGGCCGGCAGGACACCAGGAACAGCGTGGGGAGGGAAGGATGACAAGTTCAAAGAGCCACTATGGGTGCTGGGCTCTTGGGCAGGGCCCTGCTTCAGAGTGGGCGGGGCTCTAGCGTACCCAGGCGGTCGTAGAAGAAGTAGAGCAGCACCAGCATAAAGCAGCACATGACAACAAACACACAGATCATGACCGGCGTCACGTCCACCGCCTCATCCTCATGCTTCTCGGGCCCATCATCTCGCTTATGCTTCATGATCCTTTTTGGAAAATATCAGGGTTACCCGGGACCTGTGCCCGGCAGCTTGGCCCCGCCCATGATGCCTGCAGTGGGCGGCACTCACTTCTTTACAGCGCGGCTGCCGGCCCAGTAGCCACCGAGGGCGACGGTGCCCACAGCCATGAGGAAGATGATGACCATGTTGTAGTCCATCACCGGTTCCTTGGGCGCATACAGTGCCACCATCACCGCATGGCCAAAGCGCTGTCCCCAAGAGGAGAGTGGGCTTAGGTGGTGGGAGGCACTATGCCTCGGCTTCACTTAAGACCTACCCACAAGCCTCAGGGTTCTACCTGGAACCAATACCTAGGACCAAGGCCCAGAACCCATAGCACCTGCTCCTAGGACGCGCCACCCACCATGCTACGCCCTGGTGCCCACCTTGTAGATGTCTCGCAGGTCCCTGTGACTAAGCAGGGCCACAGGGATGCTTATCTCCTCATACTGTGTTTTGTTGCCTCCGGGAGGGACCTGCAGCAGACAGGAAGTATAGGATCATACCAGCCCTCTGTTGCCCAGCTCTGCACCACACCCTGGTGTGCAGGAGGGAGCAGTAGGGCCTGGAGTTCAGGTTAGCAGGACCTGGAGGCTCCTCTGACCTGGCCCAGCAGAGTGGCCACTCTAAGGATCCCCAGCCCATTAGCAACTAGCCAAATCACAACTCCCATGTGTGGCCTCAGGGACTCAGTGCCAGGCTCTAATGTCCCTTATGTCTTCACCAACCATTTCAGTGTCCCACAGCCCTTTCACCATGCTGAAGCCAGGGTTCCCCGGCGCTGTCCCACCACCCAGAGGTGACAGAGACCTGGGCACCCTACCAGCTTCTCCTTGCTGACAATCAGCAGTGCACGGGCCCCACTGGCTTGGGCCAGCCGCACTTTCTCGTAGAAGGTACAATTGCCCCGGGCCACCAGTGCAATTTGGTTGGTGAGGTCTTCCACAGGAAGGTCAAGGTTGGAGCAGAGCTGTGTTGAGCTTAAGTCCCGAAGCTTCAGGAGAGACTGCAGAGGGGAACAGTACACGCTAGCAATCCCTACAGGCACCCATACCAGGATAGCCAAGCCTATCCTCCCTGGCTGAGGTAGGAGCCACAGGGCTGCTCTGAGGACCCTGTGAGGAGACATGTCCACACAGCATGCAAAGCTAGGGACTGGTAAACCCAGGAGCCACAAAGCCCTCACCCACACAGACTGGTATATCCTCCAAATGCCTAGCAAGTGTCCCGGCCTCAGTACCAGTCACCGTGGCATAAGCACCACTCAAGGCTGAAAGGGCATGCTGACCCACTGTGAACATGTTCAACACCGTGAGACTTTGGGCGTAGAGGCTGGGCAGTCACACACAGCCTACTCATGCGTCACAAAAGTGCACAAAGTACCCACACCTTCAAGTGTAGGTGGGAAGGGGTGGAAGGGCCCACTCAAAGGACAGGTGCCTTCCAGGGAATAGCTAGCATGGGGGCTTTGAGAGGTGAGATGGACAGTCAGCCACATAGCCAAGCCTTGTCTCACCAGACTCCCCAGAACGCCTGCCTCCCCACAGCCTCACTCAGCTTTTACTCCTGAGCACAAAAACCCAGGCCCAGAGGGTGGAGTCCACCCAACGATGCCCAGGTTTGTAGCAGGAGCCAGACTGCAGGAATTGGTATCATCAGCAAGCCACAGGCACGTGTGTCCTAGTATGCAACCCACCACTTTGCTGAGGTCATGTGGCAGGCGGGCCCACTGTGGATTGTAGAGGATGCAATAGTCCTTGCCCCGGGTACCACCGCTCTGGGAGACCACACGCAGCACGCCAAACTCGCAGGCTACCTGCAATGACAAGATGGTGTCAGGACTTCCAGTACCAGAGGAAGTGATGACACCTCAGAAAGGGGGCCCATGGCCATGGTCTTGGTGAGGACACCAGTGAGGAGGACAGGCAAGGACAAGGGCACCTTCCTGATGAGCAAGGCATGGTGGCACAGGCCTGTCATCCCACACTTGGGAGTCTGAGGCAGGAGGATGGCCATGAGTTGGAGGCCAGCCTGGTCTACAGAGACCCTGTCTCAAAAAAGGGTGAGGTCCTTCCCTTCTGTCCCTTGCACCCTGCTCCTGATATGGCCATGCCTGCCAGGTGCAGCACGTCACAGAACAGTCCTGCAGAAGGGACCTCTGAAACAGGGAGCTACAGGAAGACGGACAATTCCCAGAGCCAGTTGTGCCCTGCAGCCCTCTCTGGGCTCCCATTGGTTTCCCTGGGCTCAGATGACCATCACCTATAATGCTTCCTGCTGGGGCAGCACAAGGCCCCAAGGAAACCAGGCACCTCTCTGGGCTACAGTAGAGATGGGGATCCCAGAAAAGAAGCAAAGGCTGCTTGCATGCCCTGAACCCCCGGCCCTGGCCTTGAGCTGAGGATGCCCCCAAAACCACACCTGGAGTTAAGGGTATAATGCCCCCCATAAGAGCAGCACATGGGGAAGGTATCCAAGCAGGGGACAGTCATCTGTGTGGCCTCTGCTGAATGTGAAGCTCAGTAGTTTGCCCTGAGAAAGGCATTAACCTCCTTGTCAGCTCAGGCTGGCAGGAATAGGGAAGGAAGGGGAGGCAGATGCATGCGGAGGAGCAGGTTGGCTATTACAGCTGGGAGAGTGTGAGCTGGACACTGTGCTAATGAGCACTTCCTGGGCTCCAAAGACTCAAAGCTGTGGGAAGAAGCAGACAGTGGAGGGGCAGGGGCTAGGAAAAGATGAGTGACAATATCCTTTGGCCCACTGTTAAGTGGAACATGCCCTCAATCCTAGCACTCAAGATAGAGGCCAGCATGGGGCCTGAGTGGGGAGAGCCATGCAAGTCAGCCCCACAGCTGCAGTGCAAGACGGTCAAGAGGCAGAGGCCTCCTGGGAAGTGGCCGTGAGCAGAGGGCTATACAGGCATGTCCCCATCCATGCCACAGCATCCAGCCTTGCTCTGCTCTGCTGAGGGAAGCACCGCCATAGTGCTGAGTTTGGCCTTGGCCAGTGTTTCCTTTTTGAGATCCTTTTAGTCACAAGGCTCCACAAAAAGGTTTCCATACAGGGCCTCAAAGGTAGCTCACCAGGACCCAAGTTCCAGTCCTGGGACCCTCAGGATAGGAGAGGGGACTCCCACAAGTTGTCCTGACTTTTACATGTGTTGCAGATATTACATACAGACTCAGACATAAAATGAATGTCTTCAAAAACTCAGGTTTCATTACATAATGCTAACCCTTGAGAACCTCAAGAGTCCCACAGATCTGCAAAAATACCAATAAAGTGTACTGATGGGGGAAGTGCTTCTGTGTGCGTGTTTGTCTTATTGGATGATAAATAAAGTACTGTTTGGCCAATGAGGCAGCAAGTTAGGCGGGACTACGAGTGAAGGAGGGAGACTCACATATAAACAAGGGCAGGAAGGAAGTGGCCCCTTCCCTCTTCCCCCAGAGTCACCATGTGATCCCGGGATGAGGAAGCCAATGGAAGGCACCCTAAATAAGATAAGTCTTATAAAATATATAGATTTATGATAATTAAGACTGAGCTAGCAGAAGAGAAATTCTAGTCATTGGCCAAGCAGCATTTGTACCTAAAAGAAGTCTCTGTGTATTATTTGGGGCCCTAACACAGCGAGTGGAACTCAAGCGGGTGGCGGAAAGAGTGATCGTAACAGTGTACTGCCTCTGCAGCTGCTTTCATGCCACAGCAGGTCCCTGATGCCAAAGACACCACAAACAGGCTGCAGAAGACAGAGACCAGGCTAGGGCTAAGGTGGCAGCCCACTCTCTGCAAGCTGGCGGCCATGGTCAGGGAAGTCACCGGATGGCACCTGCTAGGACAATGGGTCCCGTGTACCACACTACAGCACGCCACAGGGGGTGCTGCTGGTACAATAGCGGTGTCACTGCTACAGGTGCAACCAACTACCTCAGGTGGGCTGCAAGGCCTGCCTACTGCTCACAGGTGTTGTGGGCTGGGGAGATCCTGGTCTGCAGCAGGGACATAGTTGCCATTGTTGGTTGACAGGGTCTCATGTAGACCAGGCTAGCATCCAACTCTTTGTAACTGAGGATGATCCTGATCTTGCCATTTCCACCTCCTGAGTGCTGGTTTTGTGATGCCAGGGATGGAATACAGGGCTTCATCCATGCAACAGTTTTGATGAATGTCTCTGATGTGCCTACAAAGATGCCTTCTAAACATCTGTGTTTACATGTAAGGACCATGGCTGCTGCTGGCCCAGTCAGTTAGAGGGAAACCAGGCTCCTGAGGAGAGCTGACTATAGCTGTGGCACAGTACACCAATGGTCAGTCTTCATCAGAGAAAACACCCACATCTCCCTCCCAAGGCTCAGGACATGCCACAGAAGAGGACAGACTGGGAGGAGCTGGGGGTGTCTAAGGATCAGAACTCTACCATAACTTCCCCAAATTCAGAAAGCTTTAAGCTCACAGACCTGTTGCCAAGGCCTTACACACAGCACCTGTTGTAGACAGTCCAGCACCTGTCAAGCCTGCCAGGAGACACAGCTTTTCAGTGACAAGCCACCCTCCCTCCTGTAGGGATCCCCCTAAGCTTGACCTGGGTGAAGCCATTTCTGTCATGCGGGTGATCTACCTGGAACATACAGATTTTGTTTACATCTCCCCAGAAGTCACTCAACATCTATGCTCTGGGAGCTCGCTCCTTTTGGCTGCAAACTCCTTAGGGAGAGACTGAGTGTCGCCTGAGGCCCTGCCATGGAAACAGGCAGGGAGCCAAGCTGCCCTGAAGACATGGATGGACACCAGTTTGCAGTGAGCAGGACTGGCAGGGTCCCTACCAGGATGTCTGGGGTCTCTCAAATAGACCTGGCTTATCCCCTGTTAGAGATGGGGCCACAACTCAGCCTGATACCCTGCAAGAGGCCCTGATCACCTTAAGGTAGCAGCATGGGGAAGACCCAGGCTGCCCCAGTCCCCAAGACTCTCAAGAGGTCCCGACCATAGCATGCAAGCAGCCGCCACCTACCATAGGAACCCAATGCTGTTGACTCTAGGGAGAGCTGTGTCCCTGGCACCAACTGTCTTAACTGTGGTCCACATAATATTATCTCTGCCTCTCCAGGCTGCTGGGTGTGTCCCAGGAAGGTCCCATGTCACCAGCTCAGGGGAAGGAAGGGGCAGAGGGCAACAGAGCCCACAGTGCTCAGAGTTCACACCTCAAACTCCTCCTGCCATCTGTGTTTATAAAGTTGTATTAGCACACAGATAAGTTCATTCCTGGCCGGGAGGTAGGGTGGGAGGTGGGAGGGGCATGGTTCCTCCCTGTCCCAGCAGCAGGGCAGCTGTGATAGGGGCCAGCAGAGCCCTGCTCTGTGGGCTTGGGATGAGGCTCTTTGTGAAAAGTCCCTTTTGTGCAAAACGGAAATCGATAGAACTGCCTCTCTTCACAGCAGTCATTTACAAGCACAAAGGTGCATTCATGTCTGCCCACCCCACAGGGCACATGGCTAGCTTTCTACAGGGACAGCACAATGACGCACTCAACAGGTCAGGCTCTTCCAAGAATCAGTCCCTAAGGCTTCGTACCCTGGTCACACTTGGAGACCTGAGTCCAGAAGCCTCTACAGCAAGCTCATGTAGACACATCTGGGGACCATGAGCCCCCAACACCACCTCAGAGTGGTTGAAAACCAAGATAACACATGGGGAGCAGGGTTGGTGGGGGCCTCAGGGACACTAGAGGCCTGCACAATACCATGTAGTCCCACTGTACACTCCTCTCCTGGTAACATTGGGCACATCCCGTCTCTTAGCCAGAGTCACAAATGGCACTGGGTCCAGAACTGCCACCAAGCTACCTCCTGCTCAGAAAAGCTAGCCTCACTACTGGGCTGTTGTGACCAGGCTGAGAATGCCACCCCTACTGTTCCCCTCCAGAGGTGGGAAAAGCAGGACAGCTGTCACAAGCAGGATAAAGTCCAGGTGGTGCCCACAGCCTGCCAAGGTAAAATCCCCAGGAACACAGCTTCACTGCCAGCCTGGACCCAGGCCCTTCTGCTCCATTATCTCTAACTCCGAGGAGGAAAGTCCCTGCTGTAGGGAACCACCACAGATGCCACCTCCAGGCATCATGTGCTCATCCCCGGGGGAAACACCATCTCTTACACCTAGGGCTAGCACCTGCTGCCCACAGCACCCTTCTTCTCCCCTCCTTGGCAAACTCCTATTCATCCTTCAGAACCTCCCAGTGTCTGTCCCTAAAAAACCCTCCATCAGGTCAAATAGACCAGTAAGAAAGGCCCGGGCCGGCCAGGGCAGGTCCAGTAGAGACTAGACAACCAGGGGCATTCTGAAGTCAAAGAAAAGACAGGGAGAGCCGGGTGGTGGTGGCGCAGCCTTTAATCCCAGCACTCAGGAGACAGAGGCAGGCGGATCTCTGTGAGTTTGAGACCAGCCTGGTCTACAGAGTGAGTTCCAGGATAGGCTCCAAAGGCACAGAGAAACCCTGTCTCAACCACCACCACCCCCTAAAAAAAAGAATAGCCTTGGTGGACATCACCTGCCCAAAGACGGAGGCTTCCAGACAGGCCAGTGGCCTGGTAAAAATGAGGCAGAGAGAGCTGAGGACTGCTGGCAGGGTGGGGAGCCCTGACACACTTTCAAAAGCTCATGCCCAGCCAAGAGCGGGATGTGGGGACAAAAACGTCAAAGGGGGATGTGGGCCACATGGTGGAGAGGCTAGGAACGCCACGCCTGGGTAATGTCTTAACTTCTTAGCCAATCAAGGAAGAGCATGCCAGTTGTGCCAGTGTTGGGAAGGCTGAGGCTCAGTTACAAGTTCAATGCTAGCCTGGGCTATAAAAGGAGATCCTGTCTCAAGATTTTGTAATCTTGAAAAAAAAAAAAAAGTATTTGAAAGAACGATCCAGACCCAGGGTCCATGAGAGAAGATGAATATATAGAATAACGTGCACAGGCCACCCTGTGGGCCATCCGCATTAGAACCCAGCAACTGCCCCGTGTGCCCGAGGCTGCAGCCCTTCACGAACCATTGGGACTGGAGCCTGATGCCACAGAAACAAACAAGAAATCTAACAACTAAGCCAAGTGTTGTGACGCAGGCCTGGCATCCCAGCACTTGGGAGACTAACAGGGTGTTCAGGGCCAGCCTGGGCAACATGGCAAAGTCAAGAGACCATCCTGGGCTGCAGCGCTTGTGGGAGGCCAGCGCGCATTACAGAATGAGTTCAAGGCCAGCATGCGACTGTGTCTCAGCAAGCGACGCTCACCAAACGTCCTGCCTCGGCACCGGGTCGGGGCGCATCCCGCGGCACCCGGAGGCCCCCACGGGTCCCCCGCGTGTTGCATTGACTGACCCAGAGGTGAGGAACCCCTCCTGCCCAAGGTCACGGAGCAGAAGCCGGGATGCAGGGCTGCAGGCACCCGGGGACCCTCCCGAGCCCCTGGGGGAGGAGGACGGGGACTCGCCCCATTCTGCAGAAGAGGAAACTGAGGCTGGCAGGGGCGGCGGCGGCAGTTGGGGCCCCGGGGCG